AATTTTTAGTAGCCATTATATATTAGTCATTAATATTTATATTAAATAATAAAATAAAGATAATTAATTTATTGTCACTAAATAATTGTCAGTAATAATCAATTTTGTTGTATGAAAAATCATAAATTAGTATTTAAAAAAATTAAAAACTAATGATTTGCTGTCTATGCCCGCTTGGCATACATATTACCTGAAACTATATATTTTTGTTTCTGCATAAATCAATACATTTGACATATTTTTTATTCTTTACATGTTTATTAAGAGTGTATACTATTATTATCTTCTTTATCTAGTCTTATTCATTTGATCAATTATGCACTACAAAATATTTCATCATGAAAATTGTGAGAAAGTCGTGGTGAATCAAATGATGAGATTTTATTTTGAGATCATTGGAAGTACTTTGAAGATGAATCACGACAGGAAACTCCACAAAACGGACAACCATTAAGCACAAGAAGTGACACAGAAAAGTAACAGACTAGGCAACAAAACAGTACAAATTCCTCGTATCAGAGTTGTTGAGTTGCTATAAACAAGTGAGATGCTGGGCATTGCCATTAACCAGTTTTAGTGTAAAATATTGTTAAATTTTTCTTGCAGAGAGGGGATCAGATCCAGGAGCGTTCCACTGTGAAACACTTCAAAATTCAGGTTTTGGAAAGAGCATGTTACACAACTCCCAGAAAAAAGAAAAAAAAATGTTGAATACTCGCTCTGTTCGGATAAGTATTGTCATTATTTGTTGACACTACTAACTTTGATGTTTAAAGAATAATAAAAGATAACGAAAATAAAAAAATAAAAATAATTTATCCTTAACATTATCTTTCGAACACAATTTCTTTTATTGAATAAAACTTATGTGAATTTAATTAACTGCATGGTGTTTTGTTTGGCTCAACGTTTTAGAGAAAGACTCAAATCCATTTAGATACAACTAGACATTGTATTAAAAAGATTTAGATTACTCTAAAAACTATTATGACCTGATGATAAAAAATGAAAGAAGATACAGAAAAGCATACAAAATAGATTAAAAACTGAGCTAAAGATTACTATGCAATCTTAAATCAAAGAATCATCCCAAGGCATTAAAGCATTACCACAAAAAATTCAGAGATGAAAAATCCATTTCCAAAAGTAACGAGAAGTCACGATCATAAAAACATCGAATACCAAAACAAATCAAGTTCAACAACCAAATGAACAATCATAGAAGCATAGAATAAAAGTAACACAGATAAGTAACATCATAACAGAGCAATCTGAACTTCTCGTCATCAATAATCCTCTCCATCTTCGCCGTCTTCACCTTCAGTAGCCTCTGCACCGACTTCCTCATAGTCTTTCTCGAGGGCAGCCAGATCTTCACGAGCCTCAGAGAACTCACCCTCTTCCATACCCTCACCAACATACCAATGCACAAACGCCCTCTTGGCGTACATGAGGTCAAATTTGTGGTCAATGCGAGAAAATACCTCAACAACACTGGTGGAGTTGGAGATCATGCACACAGCCCTCTGCACCTTGGCAAGATCACCACCCGGAACAACGGTTGGAGGCTGGTAATTGATTCCACACTTGAACCCAGTGGGGCACCAGTCCACAAATTGGATAGTGCGCTTGGTCTTGATAATACCCACAGCTGCATTAACATCTTTAGGCACCACATCACCCCTGTACATCAGACAGCAAGCCATGTATTTCCCATGGCGAGGGTCACACTTGGCCATCATAGAGGACGGTTCAAATGCACTGTTGGTGATTTCCGCAACCGATAGCTGCTCATGGTGAGCCTTCTCAGCTGATATCACAGGAGCATAAGATGAAAGCATAAAGTGAATTCTGGGGTATGGCACCAGGTTAGTCTGGAATTCATTGACATCAACATTCAAGGCACCATCAAACCTCAGGGAAGCAGTCAGTGAGGATATCACCTGAATACAACACCAGAAAATCAAAAGAGGCAAAACATAACATAACATAACCCAACACAACACAACACAACACAACACAACCACAAGTGATTTCTAATTCTAACAACAACAATACCTGAGAAACTAAACGATTCAGGTTAGTGTAGGTTGGCCTCTCGATGTCAAGGGAACGCCTGCAAATGTCGTAAATAGCCTCATTGTCGAGCAGGACAGCGACATCAGTGTGCTCGAGGAGCGAATGGGTGGAGAGGACACTGTTGTAAGGCTCAACAACAGAGGTTGAAACTTGGGGCGAAGGGTAGACAGTGAACCCAAGCTTGGACTTCTTGCCAAAGTCGACCGAAAGACGTTCCAGCAAAAGGGAACCAAGACCAGAGCCAGTGCCTCCACCCACAGCATTAAAAACCAGAAAACCTTGAAGACCGGTGCAGTTGTCGGCAAGCTTTCTGATGCGGTCCAAGCAAAGCTCAACAATCTCTTTTCCGACTGAATCAAACACATCATTCTCAGAATCCAGAGTAAAATTGCGAGAGTAAATAAATAAATAAATAAATAAATAAATAATTACTGGTATAGTGGCCACGAGCGAAGTTGTTGGCTGCATCCTCCTTTCCGCTAATGAGTTGCTCAGGGTGGAAGAGTTGACGGTAGGTCCCGGTCCTAACTTCATCGATGACAGTGGGCTCAAGATCTACGAAAATGGCACGAGGAACGTGCTTTCCAGCCCCGGTCTCGCTGAAGAAGGTGTTGAATGCGTCATCACCTCCTCCAACGGTCTTGTCACTCGGCATCTGTCCATCAGGCTGAAACAAGACACAGAATTAGGGTTAATGTGACGGAAAAAAAAGGCGTAGTCGTCCAGATTTGCAAAGAAACATGAAAATGTGGGCATGTATTGGAATTGAAACATGGAAAAAAAGGAAGGGATGCGAGATCGGA